CAATTTATTTGGAACCAGAAAATTCTAGTATAGCAAAAGCAATCCTGGGCAACAAAGGCAATGTAGGTCACATTAGAATGCCTGACTTGAAATTATACTACAAAGATACTGTGATAAAAATCAACATGGTACCAAAAAAAAAAAAAAGATCCGAGGATCAACTGAACAGATTAGAATGATGCAGATACAACTGCAAACACACTCAGCCACCTTATCTTTGACAGAGGGGCCAAACATGTTCACTGGAAGAAGGATAGCCTCTTTAACAATTGGTGCTGGAAATACTGCCTCTCCACATGCCAAAAGTTAAAACTCCCACATCTATCACCATGCATTAAACTACAGTGAAAATGGATTAAAGATCTAAGCATTAAAACAGAAACACTAAATCTAATGGAAGAGAAAGTAGGTGGAAACCTTGAAGACACAAGGATAGGCAGAGAGTTAATGAACAAAAACCAAACTGCATGGGAAACACTTCAAAGAATCAACAACTGAGATCTCATCTTAATAAGAAGTTTCTGCATGTCAAAAGAAATCACCAACCAAGTGAAAGACAACCCAAGAATCGGGAAAAAAATCTTAATCAACAATCACTCAGACAAAGGACTTATATCTGGAAAATATAAAGAACTAAAAAAATTCAGGTCCCCGAAATTCAAAGACCCAATCCAAAAATGAGCATCTGAAGTGAATACACACTTCTTAAAGCTAGAAATACAAATGACAAATACATGAAAAGGACGTTGAACATTACTGGTCGTTTGAGTGCAAATTAAAACAACATTGAGATACCATCTCATCTCACCCCAGAAAGAATGGCTGTCATAAAGAAATCAACTAATAACAAATGCTTTAGAGACTGTTAAAAAGAACCCTTTTCTACTGTCTGTAGGAATGTAGACTGGTACAACCACTATGGAAATCAGTGTGGACTCAAAAAAACTAGGATTGGAGGTCCCATTCAACCCAGCTATTCCCCTTCTGGGTATTTTTCAAAAGAACTGAAAACATACCACAGTGATATATGGGCAACCATTTTTATAGCAGCACAATCTGCTATAACTTAATCTTGGAAACAACCCAAATGCCCATCAACTGAGGAATGGATAAAAAGATGTTCTACTGCTATACAATGGAGTATTACTCAGCTATAAAGAAAGACAACTTGAAACCTTAACAGGCAAATGGATACAACTAGAGGCTACACTCATAAGTGAAATAAATCAGACTCACATGTGTAAACATCATATTGTCTCCCTAGTGTAAGAACCTGAAAGAATAAATAAAAATCTGATAGGTATAATAGATATAATAAAATGAAAAGAAACAATATAAGGAATGAACAATAAAGATGAGGGAAAAGAGAAAAGATAGGAAAAAAGTAAAGGGGAAAATCATGTAAGTATATGAACAGGATAGCTGAGATAACTGTATTATTAATTTCCATCATTTTTTTGAAAATAGCAGTTAATGTTTAAAATCTTCACTTTGACTAACTCTGTATACTAATATCTGCAATTTGAGCAACTACATCAAAGACAGCAATGTGTATGTAATACAAAAACCATGGTTGAATACCTCTCATCTTGTTCTTCTAAATGTGTACCACATATGATGTCTTATCAATTATTATACTCTTTAAAATAAATTAAAAATAATGAAGTAAAAAGGTCAAGGAAAATATTAAGGTTTATTAAAAGCAAATGTTAATGTTCAATTATTTGTCCAATCTTGCAAAGCTATATTTGTTAATCTGAGCAACAGATTTGATGATAAAAATACATAACAACCATTGTTAATTTTCTATTCTTGCGTTGAAAATATGTACCATATGTACTGTTGTATGTTTCTCTGTTTCCACCTTTGTTTTCACTTTGTTTTTACTCTAAAATAAAATAAAATTAGAAAAAAAAACATGTCTAAGGTCTCTCAAATTTCTTTTTACCAGATTTATCCATTGAACTTGAATCTTAAAACAAATACCTACTCCACATTTTCACTTGGAAATCCACTGGGTATTTCAAATTTAGCTCACCTAAAATCAGCTCCTGATCACCTCACCAAGTATGCTCAGTCTTTCCACAGCTATAAGTTGTAGTATCATTCTTCAAGCTTGTGAGGCCCAAAGCCTTGATGTTATCCCTATGTCCATATCTTCTGTCATGCACCTAAACTTTCACTCATATCTTCACAAGACCAGCCGGTGTGTGAGACAAACTTTGCACCTGTTCCCATCCTAAGTCCCTCTGTTAGTTTGCTTGGTGACCCAGAGGACCAACTCTATAACCAGCCTCCGGGTGGTTCTGCACTTACAATCTCTTCTGCTCAAGGAAAACAGCAAAAGAGAAAGGACAATAAGGAGAAGAAAACAGTAGAGAACTGAGAGGGGAGGGGAGAGAAGGGAAGAGGAGGGGAGGGGAGGGGAGGGGAGGGGAGGGGAGAGGGGAGAGGGCTTTAAGAAAGGGCAGGTTGTAAAACTTCTCCACCAAATTGGGACTCATGAGTTAGGTGGTGGCGTCAGAAAAGTCCTGAAGCTGAAACTCCATTTCAGTTAGAAAATTGAAATACTAGCAAGGGTAGACCAGCCAGACAGTTTAGCAGACTAAAGCACCTGCTTTGGCAGAGCCCAGTAGCTAGGGTTCAATCCTGGTGTGCCATGCTGGCCCCGTCCTCCGGGGTGCACTGAGACAGTGATTAAGACTGGGTGTGGTGGCGTGCGCCTGTAATCCCAGCGCTTGGGACACTGAACACAGGAGAATCACGAGTCTGATCCATGTAGTGAGACTCTGCATACCCTGTACACCTGTCCTAAATAAAAAAAAAAATACCAGCAGAGTTATGCAGAGTGTGGCTCAATGACCTTATGAGGTACGTTGAGTGTGTTTTGTGGATTTCCACCCAACTAATTTCAATTGGATACAATCTTTGAATTCCCCGGTTTCCTGTGAACAAAATCATACACCAGAAAATGTGAAATTCATGTGTGCTCAACTTGTCCCCTAATATACCTAGCATTTGGCAGCAAATTTAAATTTTCTTAGGTATCTTAAGGACATCATGCAATTTTTACATGGTAGTTTTTATTTTTTTCACACTTTATGTTGTATCTTTTGTAGTTACAACATGCATATTTACTTTCTTCATTATGTTTTCATGGGTTTCTTAGTCTAAATTTCTTACCTATCCTCCCACCTAATAGCATTATTACCTATAATTTTTTACCTATTACCAATTATAGTAACAACATTTTATTTTTTAATTAGATATTTAAGTCTGAATCCTAGACCTATTGCTCAGTCAAATCTAGGTGGATTTTTAATCTTAGTAAATGTTTTAGAAACTGTTTAATTAATTTAGTAATTAATTTATTTATTTGGTACAGGATCTCACTATGCAGCTCAGATTTTTACTGATCCCTCTCAGTTACCCTAGCACTGGGATTACAGGTGTGTGCCACCTTGTGTCACCATGCCTGGTTTTGGTGACCAGTTCAGCATCAGGCCAGCATGGCATGTGATACAGGGGAACAAATCTGGGTCCTTATGCTTGCCAGACAGGCACTTAGATCGGTGAACTATCTCCCCAGCCTGTAGAAATCTGTTTTCTAAAAAAAGTATTAACAATGTAAGAAATTATTCTTTTCTCCAATATGCTGTCCCTGTATAGACAGAATTTTCAAACACTGTGCTAGGATGACAAGAGAAAAAAAGTTATTGTTTTAATTTGTACTTGCCTAATAAGTAATGTAGACAGATATTGCTTCAAATGTTTATTGGCTATTTGTGTTTCTTCTGAGAAATAACTACTCAAATATTTTGCCTATTCTATTAGGTTGTTTTTTCTATCATTTTATAGGAATTCTTTGTATATTCTTTTTCCTATAATTTAAGTTGCAAATATTTCCTTAGTCATTTGTTTCTATATTTTGTTCATGGAAAACAATGCTAAAAGTTAAAATTCTCTGACTTCCACTTTGACTTTAGTTTTTGGTGTTTAAATATTGACCATGGTGATCTTCAATTCTTAGTTTTTATTTTTTAAAGAGACTACAAAATGGAAAAAAAAAAAAGAAAAGAAAAAGAAAAAAGAAAAAAACATTAGAAGTAATACAGTTTCACTAAACAAAATAATAGGAATTTGACAGTCGTGGTTGTATTATATAATGTTATCTTCAAATTAGTTGCTTAAATTACTAGATATAAACATGCAAAATTGGTAAAAAAAAAGTTATAAGAAATTAAGCATTAAATGCTCCTTTCAATAGACAAGCAGAAATCAATAGTACAATTATCTAAGCTATCCTATATAATATATATCTTTTTTCCTTTCTTTTGTCCTTTTTCTCATCCCAGCTTTTCCTTCCTATTGAATAGATTCTATCCCTTTCATAGTATCCATTGTACTCTTCAGATTTTATTTGCTCACTGAAGTTCTTACACTAGAAAGACAATATGATGTTTGCACATGTGGGTCTGATTTATTTCACTTAACAGTGTGATCTCTAGTTGCATTCATTTTACCAACAAAAGACTCAAATTTATCCTTTTTTATATCTGAATAATACTCCATTCTGTAAAGGTACCACACCTTCTTTACCCATTCCTCAGTAGATGGGCATTTGTATTACTTCCAAGATTTAACTATGACAAATTGTCTTGCTATACATGTGGGTGCATATAAATAACTGTGGTGTCATGCTTTATTTCTTGATTCACTTCTAAGACTGTGGAGGCCTCTTATTAAAAGGCTTGTAATGTTTGAGTGACTCTGGAAGACACTGAAACTGATGATAATTAAGCTAATTGATAAATCAGAAAATTTCACTTACAAAGATTGAAGCTATAGTATAGAATATATATCATCAAAATTTGATACAGAAATACTGAGAACATGTGAAAATAATTGCATTTTCTTTAATGTATAAGAAGATCCAATTTTGTTACTGTATTATGATGAAAAGAAGTGAATATGGCATAACATGCTGTTTCTTCCCTCTTTCAAAAAAATCTCAGCCGAGTTTGTCCATCAGCTCTTCCAGGGACTTTTTCATACACTAGACGTCGTTTTTTGAGTTGTGGTAGTTGTGAGTACATTACATCTGTTAAAAGAGAGAAAGGAAAACCATTTATTACATATATTACTGAAGTAGCTATCATTTTCCAGCTACTCAGGATCTTTCCTATCACCTATTTAAGTTAAAAATTTCAAACTGAGATAAATAATGATTAAAAAATACATTTTAACATAAATACTACCATATCTAATGGCCTAGTATTAAAAATTAGTATGTATATGTCTTGTGCAAATAATAAATCTCCCTAGATTTCAACTTCCTCTCCTGTAAAATTATATTTGTACATGATTTCTAAGATCTCTTAAGGTTCTAATATTCTTAAGTAAAACCATCTGAAATGGTTTGGGGAGTTCAGACAAGGCTGATTCTTCAAGGTTTCCTATATTTCTTCACTAATTAGAATAAAAGACAGAGGCCACCCACATTGATTTTTTTTTTTTTTGAGGTTATGAGCAGAATATATTTATTGGGAGAAAGAAAGCTTCTGTCCAAGAGAGGGACAGGAGGGAGGCCCAAGTGGGTTGTTCCCTGCAAGCTGTCTCTTCCAGGGACTTTTATAGAGTAAAACCATGTGGTGAGGCGGGTCTAAGGTGGTGAAGGCATGGGAACTCGCTTAGGTGGGTATGAAGTGGGACAAAACTATGGTCAACCAATGAGATTACAAGCATCATTGCTTAGGTAAAATTGATTAAATCCTGTACCAAGTGGGGAAGCGAGTCATCTAGCAAGCATGTGAGCTGAGCCCTCTCCAGGGTTTCCTGCCTCATTACAAGAAAAGCTAGCTTCACCTTCCTTGGGAAAGGCTGCCTGCAGGAGGCTTTATTTTTATTTCTGTATTTTTTTTTATTTTAAGGGAAGGGTCTATAGGGTGTTCAGGATCTCACTACTAGATCAGACCTGTAGTTATCTGCCTGTTTACAGCCTTCCAAGAGCTAGGATTACAGGCACATTCCACCACGCCCAGTCTCAATTGCACTTAAGAGTGCCCTGAGGGTGGCGCTGGCATGGCAGGCCTGGGGATTGAACCCCCAGCCCCTGTGCCTGCTTGCAGGCACTTTAATTTGCTGAGCTACTTGGCTGACCCCCTATAGGAGGCTTTAAAACCAAAAAGTTATAAGTTGCTCAGTGGGCCTCAGATATCTGACACAAGCTGCAAAAGTTAGAAGGGTTTGCAGGAATAAATTTGTCTGAGTTGAGGTGTTTGATAGTAGAAAGGATACAGAATGAAATTATAGAGGAAAAATGAGAATAGTGATACTAGCAGCCTACAGGAATGAAGGCCAGTCAGGAAACAGGGAAAAAGTTATGCTTTCCTGGATCCAGACAGAGAGAAGGGACATTTCAAGCAGAAATGTTCAAGGCTGCTAGAGAAGGAAAAAAGAAACTGTTTATGATGGAGTCAGAGGAAGTTTCAGACTGAGGTGGTCATGGGACTTCCTCTCTCAGCCTGAAGGAACCCATGTTAACTGCCACTATAAGGAGAAAGCCTGTTAAGCTTTTAATAGATGCTTATGCAGATTTGTCAGTTACCCAGACAGTGGCCCACTTGCAAAATAGAGAGTACTCAATGTTTTACCTAGGTCTGACAATTCATGTACCCCCAGTAATGGTAGAGTTGGTGACACCCACATTGATTTAAAACTTCAAACAATGACACAGCCCAAGGTCTCTACCTTCTGAGTCCATCTGTGTGGTGAGAGTGCATGGAATTCCACCAGTTTCTTTCTCTTTTCTTTTTACTTTGCACTTCCTACTCCCATTCTTTTTTTCAGGTGCTGGGATTGAATCCAGAGCATTTCACATGCTAGACAATCACTCTACCACTGAACTATACCCCTAGGCTCCCATTTTTATTCTTTTTTCACTGTGGTTAGTCTTCTAGTCTGTGGAGATCATATTCACCAAGGACATAATTTCAGGGATGTGTTCACAAATCAGTTTGTAAATTCATGTATGGAAATGAGATATTTAACTCCAATTAAGGAACATATTTATATATATGAATAACTACCAGAAATGTTAATGACTTCTAGGATACTTGTCCCTCACTGTGAAGCTATGGGTCAGCCCGGGCTGGCACTGTTTAACAGCCACTTTTTATTGTAATTATTCTTTTTTGTATTTTAGGGAAGGGTATGCAGGGTGTTCAGGGTCTCACTACTAGATCGGACTCCTAGTGATCCGCCTGTTTACAGCCTCCCAAGAGCTGGGATTACAAGGTATGCGCCACCATGCCCAGTCTCAATTGCTGTCTCAGTGTGCCCCAGGGGCAGGGCTGGCATGGCAGAGCAGGCCCAGGGATCAAACCCCCAGCCCCTGTGCCTGCTTGCAGGTACTTTAATCCCCTGAGTTATTTGGCCAGCCCTAAAACCACCTTTTAGGATGGTGTGGGCTGAAGGAGCAAAGCCTGATTTGTAGTGATTGTCTATTTTTGTGCTATAAAAACTTTTACCACAGCTAATTTCAAGTTACCAACTTGATAGGAAATGTGTTGTGTTCTAAGTATCAGTCTTCCACAGACATTTCTAAAATTTCTAAAACTAATTTATTTTTCCATATTTTCCAGAAAGCTTGCCTATTAAGTGAAAACTTATCTTTTGAATCTTCTTATTGAGTCCTATTCATTATACATCTATACATCATTCTTACGGATATCCTATAGCCATTCAACGTATAAAACACCCATAGATCCCAAGTTAACTAATACAAAACATCCCAAGTAAGTTCACAGATGAAAATATTTATAAAGATATTGATAGCAAGTCACTATATCCTTGCTAAGGTAGACAGAGTCATCATGAATAAATGAAAAAGATAAATTGACCAAGAAGCAGTTAAGCTAAAAATAACAACACTTTTTAAAAAATCAACATTTAAAAATCCACTACTGTTACAAATAGGGAGTAAAAGGGCCTGGTTGATCCATCTGATGACTAACGATGTTGAATATCTTTTGTAAAATGTTCAAATCTTTTGACTTTAAAAAAATTGTGTTGCTTTGATGATTTTAACTACGTTGTATATTTTGGATACAAGTCAGTTGTTGGATGGTTACCATGGAGATGCCTTCTTCCAGTCTTTGGTGTGTCTTGCATTTTCCTAATAATGTACTTCAAAGAAATTGTTTTAAATTTGATGAAATCCCCCCCCCAAAAACCCAAAACTAATTTGAAGACAACAGTATGCACTGCAACAAATATTGTTGAATTTGTATTATTTTGTTTAATGAAATTCTGTACCATTTCTAATTTTTTATTATCATTATTTTGTATATGCTTTAAAAAATAAAAAAAAGGTGATAAAAAATCCACTACTGGCATAAGTAAAGTAACAATTTAGGGGAAAAAAAACCCTTAGAATATCATATTAAAATTATAATATCATTTTCCATATTTACAAAGCACTTATCTGCATGTATGAAACCCATTACTTTACATAATTAACATGCAATAATGATTACCATTTTTTTAAAAAACAGGTTTACAAAAATGGCAATGATGACTGAATAGAGTGAATATTAGTAAAACAATAGATATAATTCTTGACATCTGTAGGTCATGCAGAAAGCATATTTTATTTTTCTCTATATATACTAAAAGGAGTTTAGATAAAACTCACTCTTCACCATCTATTCCTCATAAAAGTTCTTACAAAACTAAAGATAGAAGATTTCCCACTAACATCAGGAAAAGTCTAAGTTTGTGAGTCCTGGGGCTCACATAACTTGGGAGGCCCTCTTCTAATAAAACAAAGAAGGCCGGCCAGATAGCTCAGCAGATTAAAGCACCTGTAGTCAGGTGCAGTGACTGGGGTTCAATCCCTGAGTGCTGTGGAAGCCCCGCCCCAGGATGCACTGAGACAGCAACTAAGACTGGGCGTGGTAGCACAGAGCTGTAATCCCAGTGCTTAGGAGGCTGAAAACAGGAAGGTCACTCTACAAGTCTGATCTGTGTAGTGAGACCCTGTAGACCCTGTACTAAAATACATATAAAAAATTAAAATTAAAAAAAAGAACATAAAATTTTCTGACTCTCAAGTCTTAGAAAAGGCCTATGTGAAACAAAAGCTTTAAAGATCACACTGGGTAGCCATGAGAATGTACTATTTTGTTGTAGTTGCTTGGGTCAGTGGCATAGAAAAAAGAATTCCTAGAGAAGCTGATATGATAAAATGTTCAGACAAGTGAAAAAATCCACTGAAGTGTATTTAATGGTAGTGATATATATAGGCTCTCCAAATGACATAAGAGAAATACTATGATTTCCAACCTGCTAGTTGTCAGATACAATGAGTTTGTGTTCCCCAAAATCAAAGATTGAGTTCCAAAGAACAACAGAGGTTAGGTGTAGGAAATTTTACTGCAGTCTCCTGAGAGACTGCAGGGGGCCTGAGTGGTTTGTCATGGAGCCCACTTTCTAGAGGAAGTTTTATAAAGCAAAATCATGAGGTGGGTGAAAAATCACAAGGTAGGCACAATGTGGGACAAAACTATGATCAAACAATAAGATTACAAGGACAAAACTGATCAGTATATCTGCCTCAATAATGCTGATCAAATGGGGAAGCAAATCACACACCAAGTGTACATGGAAAGAACAAGAACTTTTATTAGAAGAGATGAGTGAGGAGGTCCTCATCACCTACGTAGATAACTGATGTCTATCTAGAGTTTACTGGACCAGGTGATACTAAGTATATTATATTGTTATCCCTTGAGGAGACATGTAGACCTGGTCATTCTTTTATCTTTAAGACTAGCCTTCAATGGCTACACCTCCAGCCACAGCTGTAATG